GTTTTTAAAAATCACATAAAAACTGTCCGACTTACGATTCGACGATCCCTTCGTTAGCTAAAGTGTTGAAATTACTTCTCAGAAATATAAATTCAGCGTTCACCTTTAGGAACAGTACGATTGGCACTACATCAGAGCGTCGAGAAAACAACTTCAATTATGTGTCTAACCGTCCAAATGACGTTTATGCGTAACATGACACTTTGTGGCTCTTGTCTCATTATTAGAAAAACTTCTAGAATGATCCCTGACTTAGACCTATAATAAACGCATGAGGACTTGATGAAGTAAACCACAGTAACAAATTGTTCATCACTATAATATGAATGTCAAAGCTGAGTGCGTTAATTTAGATAAATCTATGGGAGCTTAGATGTAATAACCACACCTTGCGTACTAACTTATTATTAAGTACGTACATTAAAATCCGTATTAACTGAGTTAATATTTTGCTGCTATTATAAATGTATACAACACAGCAGTGTTGAAAAGTAGGCAGCATAATTCGGATGAGATAAATTTAAATAAATGTTAAAACCAAGGCCGCGGTCCATACTATAGTGTATATTAAATATAACACATCAGCCACAGCTCTATTTGACGAAACAGATAAATTGTACTGTGCCTAGTATCTCTTGAATGGCGAGCCAATTTCGCATGTTGGTGTGCGCAATGTGTTAAGTAAACGACGCAAAAGCATTTCCGTATTGTTTTTATTACCGACTTTCGTAAATTAATATAATTGAAATGGAAATTCAAAATGGATTCTTTTTTTATTATGTGATTCGTGCACTCTAAATTAAAGTCAAACGTTTAAGAAATGTTCCACATTTTAAATTTAATTCGCTAGTTAATACCATATTATATTATTTATAAAACCTTTGCTCTTTCATTAATATAATATTGGTTAGTTATTCAACAGCTACGTAAATGTTGATAATGGCTGCTGGCTCGTGGTCGTGTTTATAAATAAACAAAATGATGACGAAGATAATCAGAAGTCATGGTCCCCGGCAGCCATGACGACGAACCGTGTATCTCCACTAAATGGTAATCGTGCCAATGAACTTTGCTTGGCTTTACACGGAGATGAGGACGTTGTTGTTTTAGTTTTTACGCAACAAAAAACATTAGGCTATTTTATGCTCGACTTACACATGTCTTCTTTGACTTCGACGTGAGGCATTGTCCTTGAATTTTCAAATAACATTCATAAATATACTAAGATTAACAAATTTCAAAAGAGAATTTTAACCGCTTTAATATTTAATAACGGTGCTAGTTTACTTTATCTAACACAGACAAAGAATTGCGAGCAATTAGACAAACCAAGATAACATTTGGCATTGGTCAGGGTCTTAGTATATGAGCCATTCTACATAGAACACGTTTTGCTTTTAAAATGGTGTTAAGTGCTCAAATGCGTAGGATGGTAACCAACCTATGTGCTTACATATTACATTAATGCTAAGCTTCAACATATGCGTAAAACGTCTGGTTTGAGGTGTTTAATGTTGGATACTTGTCTTTATCATGCTTTTAGTCACGTTGATGGCATGTAAACTGTATTGAATATTAGGTATTGGATTGATGTTATCTACTTCACGCTTATTCCTGCGAAATTTTGTATGGTTTGTATATAATGTTTCCATGGTACTAATCAGTTACGGTAAAGTCAATTGATAATTATTATGGATTGGCGTGTCGCTCACCAGGCACATGACTTGTTCGTCCCGTCACTTAATATTATAATAAAAAAAATCAACGTAGCAGAGTCAAAACGCAATATTTCCTACTTCAAGATTCAACTTTGTTAGGACAAAGGCTGATACAAATTAAATAATGGAGGAAAACGTGTCCTCATTCAGATAATTGTTGCAATAAAGTAAAGTTTATAAACGTGTCTATTGCGTAAGTGTAATAGACACATGTTGTAGGAATATTGAGCTCGAGGTAGAAAACGCAATCATTTACAGACTCAGCCATAAATAAATCATGGTGTTGCTTTCGCGGTTGGTGCAATATACGTAAATCTGTTATAGGATTGTTGCACAAAATTCACTTATACAATACATTTCGTACGCGTGGTTTCGTCTACGTTTACGAGTGTAAATATAGTGGTGGTGCTCTTGTTGTATATATGTTAGGAAGGAATGAGGTAACGATAGTAGCCAGTGGAGTCATTTCTGCGCAATCTATATCGATGCGCACGGGCACGACCGACGGCAGCAGGGACGGCGCGGTATGACGGCAAACGTTCGCACTACTCGCACTTCTGTACACGAGGCGGTGATGACCGAGGCCACACGTGTGGGCTTTTATACAGACAGACTTTGCGGCGCTCTTTACAACGCGTCATATCATTACAACAAAAACAATCTATCAACTTAGAGCACACCATGTGAATTTGAGAACGAACGCCCCGACACGTGTAATTATCGAATATATTTCTAGGACTACGACTTCCTTTAAATAAACAAAGCAGAATTTTGATTCGAGAAGTGTTACGAAAAATTTAACAATAGTTAGCACTAATTGGTAGGTTTATTGAGTGAAACGAACAAAGTTCGGTTAAACCGATAAGTTATTTGAATAATTGTATCCCTACAATAGTCTCACCTAGTGAACAGCCCAATATTATACGGGTTAGTAGGGCAATTAGAATTTTATAGTTACGACGACGTGCTACATTGTAATTCACAATCATTCGATGGTGGATATCTATCGGGAATGACATAAGAACTTTTGAAACTGTCTGCGTTGTTATCTGTCCGACTCAGACTATTTTATCTTTATTAATCCCCTTGACCTATTGCGGAATTTGATCACTTGTGCAAAATGCGCAGTAAGTATGATGTCACAATTAACGTGAATGTGAATTTTTATCTCCGACGTCGTATACATTTAAGAGTAATCAATTGGCAAGTTACGGGCACCATGCGACGGCTGCGTGCTGGAGGTACTCAACTTCGTTGCCACCGATATATCGCCTCCGCATGGTAGCAAGCGACCTTGTTTCGAATTCTAATCCGTTCGTCAGCGACCGATGAACACGCGAAAAGCGGCAGCTTTGTGGCAGGTTTATTTATTTAGTTTAAATTTAAAAACGTTCTTGAAAATATGAAAATCCGAACGTAGCTAGTAACCTTTACATTTAGTTGTTAGCTTAATTCAAGAAAGTGTGCAATATACTAAAGTAAATTAGATACTAATAAGTAATAATTGCACGCAGGTAATAGTAATAAGTAAGCATGCGGTAGACATTATCATAGATGATTAGGGGCAAGGCTATTGGGTTACGGACAGCTAACCCAACGGCTAGTTAATAACGTTCCAGTTTCCTGGTAATTGTTTAGCTATGCATGAGCACCAGTCGCAAAGTTAAAGGGACGCATTAACATTGTTTGTTAATTTATTATTCTGAATGATTCGTTCGTTGGTTATTTTAATACGTTGAAGGTTTAATGTTCGAGTTAAATGCGTAAAAAGTTAATGCAATTTACATTTTTAAGTATATACAAGACCATTCATACCCACAAATAGAACAAGCTTAATATTCGAATATCAACGCGTACGAAAAAGACGTGCGAAGTAAAGTATTGCGAATTAGAACACGGCTATTATTGCGCATCAAACGCGACTTCAGTAAATTAAGGGCCGACTCGTGTCACTATCTACGTTCTTGTTTTCCCCTCTATATTTTAAGATAAGTTCCAGTTCTTTAGATATAAAAAAATACATTGCTATCCTTACCACCGGCATATTATACTGAGTGGAATTGATTTAGGATTGCCCATTACACACATTCGCGATTCATACTTTAATTATTTTAGCAATGCTATAGGTTTCAGTATGCTGTATTTACTACGTACGCAACGAATTGATGAATTTCAGTGATATTGCTAAATCTGTGTGAATAATAGGTAGCGTAGTTTTAGTTAGTTTAAATTCTTAGGAAGTACTCTTCGTACTACTGTAGTATTGGCAAAATACTAATAAAGAATAATTCGATTGAAAGTTCTTATGCGCCTATTTACATTAATTTCAACTTGCAACGGTTTTAGAAACAAACATTTTAAAGTACGTACATATCGTCACAGAAACTAATGAAACAAAATAAAAAAAAATATTAAAAACCGAAAAATAGAGTCGAAAGTGAATGTTTAAGTTAAGAATAATTCGTGTGTCAAATTCTAAAACCGATGTTCCACGTCATACCAGACGAAGTTATCCTCGTACTTAAAATAGATATGCGAGCGTTAATTCTCTTAAACGGAAGTTATTTTAGCAACTTTGTTTTGGAAATGGGGGCGGGCGGCGGCGGTTCTGCCGGCCGTCGGCGGGCTACGTCTGCGCTGTTTGTTTACCTCAGGCGGTTGTTATTGAATTTAACTTTACACAGAACACAAGCCTAAAGTACATGAGATAGTTTTGACTAACCGCATAATAAATAAATACATTATAATATTGACTCACTAATGTAATGACTCACTTTCAATGTTTATTTTTTATTATTAAATATTGGTTTCTTTAGTCTCGCTATATGCAAGTTAATTTCACGCAACAAATTACACAAAATATAATTAGTAATAATGTAAATTATAGCTATACCAAAGTCATTCATGGCAAAAGGCTTTACTCTTTACGAGTCTTATTTTATAGTTATTTTAATAACGCACACACGCACTCAACATACCCCCCACACTAGGAAAACCCTGTGTCGCCGGTGCCATAGACACACACATAGACAACCACAATTTACACCCGAACTCACGAGAGAAATAAATGTAGGCCATATAAATATTTCTCCCGGCCCGGGAATCGAACCTGGGACCTCTGCGTGGTAGTCCGGCATTGTAATCGTTCGGCCACTAGGCAGTTAACTATAATAAAATAACAAAAATGAACTAAAAAATAAACTCATTAACAATATTAAAACAAAAAGTAAAGACATTGCTACAAATACACTACATTGTGTGGACAATAAACACATTGCTTACCTCCATAACGACGTAGACATGAGCAGGGCTGTCCATGCAGTCGTGCATGGCCACGAGGTTGGTGTGATGCAGAGCCGTGAGCTCGCGCAGTATCTTTATCTCCTTCACCAGGATCTCTGACGCTTTCTGAATGCCTTTTTTCGTTACTACCTTCACCGCCACCGACTGTGATGGGTTCTGCACAAAAAAAAAATCAATCAGTGAAAGATTTATTTCTAAATACATAACAATTAGATTTTTTTTTGTTTTTACTCTTTTTCATTCTATTTTGACGACAATAAATATGCTTTATTTAATTAAATGTTAAAACTTTTCGCTTACAGATAAAGGCAAATAATCGTCCGAAACTCGAACTATACAATTATTTAACAATTCAAAAGAGTCGTAACAGATATGAACTTGATTCGCATAGAAAACGACGTCGCATAACAAACTCGTCCGACTGACCTAATAGGAATTACTGATAACTTGATAAGACAAGCTTCGCAAAGAGTTACACATAAGCTCAGATAGCACTTAATTCACATGGGTATTTAGAAACTTATTGCGAATAATTACAGATTACAATAGACGTACACAACAGTGCGAAGCGATAGTTGTCAAACAATAGACGTTATTTTGTATGCTGTTTACATTTTATAAATAAACTACAAACTTGCACGAGTAAACCTTGACATGAAGACATTGAAAGATTTCTCATACTATAAAATTTTATCAGAATTTTGATGCAAATTGATCTACTGCGACCCAACTATTTCAAGTCCCACACTAATAGCAATCTTCTTGACTTGATCATAACAGTACAATTTTTAGCATTCAATAAAATACTGCTTATTCTACTAATCTCTCGGTACTACCGAGATTCCATAGTTAGAGAAACTTGTCATGAATCAAAGGGTAACTATTATTTCTAATGACAACAGACTTTGTAAAATGACAATGCAAGTGCACTGAGCATTGCATACGGCCGTCGCAGGTGGGTGGATGCAGCGCGTGTTGCATCAAGGTTGACTATTATACATCCTTCCTTGGTATCTATACAAATGTATTAGACCATTAACATATTATCCTTCTTATAAGTTATTATAAGTCAGGACAATTTCAAAATAAAGTTTACTCAGAAACAGATACGAGCGTTGAAGTGTCAAGTTATGAAGCGAGTATTTAAGACATGAATTATGGGGAGACGTGCAATGTTTGCGTACGGAATCATAGTGTCAACAGCGAGTTGGTTCGGTTTGCTTTTATCCAGAGGGGGCTGGGTGGTGCGCCCGCGCTGGCTAACATTAGCCCGCCCTACATTCCGTAGGCTCGTGGAGAGATTGCAGCTTGACCTGATTTCAACACGCGCCCCGTGTGGGATCACTTCTAGCCAGATTACGTATAAGTGACTATAGTAAAGTTTATATCCTAGATATAGAATATGGACTAAGGAACCGTTATAAATATCTTAAAATTGAGATGACATACCGAAGACCAGCTATTTTTATAGTTATTAGTTGGTTGGTATAGTATAGAATTTACTTCTCAATGTTTTGGTAGTGGGTGCGGTGTCGAGTAGCGTGGTCACGGACGGCCGTTCGTGAATTCATCGTTAGTCGTCGCCAAGTTCAACTTTAAACGTTTGGCAATCTAGTATTCATATTAATAGGTGTATAATTTTTCTTGATGCAAAATAATAAATATTCAAATCAGTACAACTTACACAGAAGTACAATATTATGTGTCGTACAACTGTTGTTTAGATACATACTGACGTACTACATTATGTAAATAGAGGTAGTAGAAGGAAGTAATAATCGGTGTACACTACTTACCTAACGAACACTGCAATCATAATTAGTTATTTTATAATACGACATTTAACGTGGTTATTAATACCGTTACAAAATTTGAAAATTGGCACTACAAGAAGCGGCATGATAATATTACTGTAAGTAGAAATTGGCATGTTTTAGTAAAACTGTTGAAACAAACCATGATTAATAAGAATCACAAGTATTGTTTTACATTTGGGATTATGTGTATACATGTAGATGTCTCACGTGCCGAATGCCCTTGGAGGGCACGAAGCGTGTCGTTTATGAGTATTGTACTATTCCAGAGCAGCGGCAACGGACAGTGTCCCATGGGTATGGACAATAGGAAATCTTACCTGCGACAGGAGCAGTGCAATCATGGACCATATCCAACCTACGGGAGTCGGGAGTCTGTCCTCTATTCAACGCTGTATAATGCGACCTATGTTGTATGTCAGACTCCACCACCCACGCGTACGTAATTCCTATTACGTATTATAAAATTATTATCTAAGTCATCATTCTTACATTTAATGTATTTGAAAATATAGGCACATAAAGTGACGTCAACTTTAGGCGATGATAATTAATTTACAAAACTGTTATTGTTTGTGCTGTACAGATAAATTGAGTAGATTTAAAATAGCGATAAAAAGAACAGTGACCTAAGACAGATCACGTTTTGTGAGAGAAAAGCTTGCCTTAAAATACAGATATTAAGGTTACATGAGGTCAATTTTTTCATCTACGAATACCACAAAAAGTGGTTGTTCGCCATATTGAATTGATCTGATGATATCTTGTCTTCGACCAGCCATCGACCTAAAGACTTCAACACACGTACTCATACAACAAGTACGAATGTTAATGCACTCGGATTAGATATAATCAAGACACCTATACAAATCGCGTGGGTATCTATTTATCAAATGAGCGCGTCTCAAGCGAAGGTAGTTTCTGTTAATTTGCGGCATGGTGTTGTGTTAATAAATTCATAACTAATTCTTAAATTTTGTGTTTAAGAATTAGTTGTATATTGTATTGCGTGTTTAAAAAACTTTTACAGAAAAACTATAAAGTATTAATTGTACTAATACTTAGTTCTTTACGTCGTTTTTGGGCTTAATATAAATAGAGCCAATATCACAAATATACGGGCATTTTAATTAGCATCACGTGCTGGGTAGCCTAGTTCAAGCCAGCTGTACATACAAACCGGAATAAGCTGAAGCAGCTGGTGAGACACCAACCAGTCAGGTGGACAAGTAACTTCAGTATAACATTCAAACATATATAAATGACGCTATAAAAGTTCGTGATCATAAAAAGTATCTAATTCCAAAGAACAAAGTAAAGTATATAATTTTTAATATTACCAAAGGGTTGATTTTATATAGCTCTTTGTCGTTTTTACCAATTTGCGACATGCGTGAAATGATGTCTGATGATAGAAAACAAAAATGTTAATAATAATAATAATATAATAATAATATAATGCTAATACATAGACAAAGAAAGAAATTACATTACAGCAGGTGATATCTTATTGTTACAATAGTTAAATAAATACACAAGAAAATATCAAGAAATTTAAATAGTGGATAGCCCAAATCCTAAGGAAAAGTACCAACATAAAGATTGTTAAACATTGTGTAACAAATATCTTTAAATAATACCTTCATGAAACTGTCAATGACCTTATTACTCATTCTAGAAAGGCCAATACTGTAAAGTTAAAACTGTAATGTTAGCTGTATTTAAACCTAATTAACACAATAGAATAGAAATTGTTTATTTCAAAGAAACTACATAATTAGTCTCTGATTTTTATGTGTAAACAGCGTACTTCACTGCTTTTCAAGAATAGTGACTACACCCAAAATTAATCCTTTAATGTGATTATGATTCCATGCTTTTCATTGCTTAGAATAATCACATGTCAACAATGGTCTATGATTCATCAACTTTGGCACTCGGATGCTTCCTGATGAGTTAGGTGCTTTTGAGATAGGCATATATTTTAAAAAGTAATACACTTGTTACAATCCACCGACATCTCTTGTGGGGAGTTTTGATAAATAATATTGATATGTGGAATAATTAACCTCAGGTTAACCTCATCTAATATAATATCTAGGTCTGTAAATACAAGGAAATGTTTGTAGATAATAAAATAAGCAAGGGAAAATGTGGTTAAAGTTCAAAGATCTTTCGGCCTCATTTAACCAATTTTAAGCTTGCCTTATCTTTTGTTATCATAACCTATCTAGTATAGTAGAATTATTGCTGTCTTTGACTTTTGTTACAACAAATCATGGAAACAGAATTTCATGTCAAAAGTATCTCTATAACATAGCTACAAAAACTAATAATATAATAACTGGAAACTGTGGTTGCCCACACTGCTAGTAGTTTTAATAAATCTGGATAGTCTAATGAACATAGCTGAAATAAAAAGTATAATTAATAGTAGCATACATAAAACAGTACTGATAGATATTTAAGTGGTTTATGATTGTATCTGTAGATATTATTAGGATGACTTATGTCAGGTACAATCTTGCATCATCTGTAGAATGAGGCATAAACTAAAAATATCAAAACCTTTTAATATAAACAAAATTTACTTGGTTTACAGATTATAATAGACTGTAGAGTTTAATACAAACCAAAACAAAAAAAATGTAAACATTATTACAGGTTATTTATGATCAGCTGTTTACTTAACATACTAGTTGCAATTGTACAAAAGAATTACTTAATTTGTACCTTCGCTATTTACAATTTATTTGGTATGGTAGGTAAGTAGCCAAACGTTCGTGATATTTTTCGCCATTGTTTCTGGCTCAGCCAAATTTTGTACATTTGACGTATTGCCACCACCCACGATTGCAATAGATCGATATTATCAACAACTCAAGACATGCTCTCCCACCCCAAATCCTGAAGTCCCAAACACATAGGTACCATTGCCAAACAGTGCGCGCATCTAACAAATATTATGCGAACAATAAAGAAAGCGTAAATTGGTACCTTTCTCTTCCTTCCTTTGTACACCATAGCGAAGGCTCCATGTCCTATAATGTCTTGTTTGGTGAACTCGTATTCACCAACCTGGATTACTTCCATTTTCACTAGTTTTCCTTTAACCACTGACATTTTTATAGTTTATTTATTTACAGTCTTGTACTTACGGACAACAAAAGATCAATACTATAATTTAGGAATACTCGATTGGGAACTTGACTAAGTGCTACATTCTGATCACAGTTGATGAGCTCCTAATCACTTCCTAGTTTCCATCTATAGTTAAAATTTCACTGTGCACTATCGTATCATTGTTACGGTACCATAACACAACACACAATGATTGCAAAATGTTTAAAAGTGATTTTATTTTGTGTTGATTTTGCGAAGTTACGAAAAGGTGTTTCCAGCAAAAAAAAATGCAGTTAATCAGACAAGTTGCCATTAATGCAGATAACATTTCTACTATTATTTGAGGAACTCTTTTCTACGTAAATTTAATTAAAGAGACCAAATTAATTTATTAAGTAAAAAAATTACCTATATATTTTATTCCTCTCATTAAGAATTATTAATAATACTTCAATAAATTTACAATTTTGATATCGCTTCTACTTACCAAATTACTGTTGGCGTAATTATAGTAATACTCGTAACTCGATTGCCTTTCTCTATGAAATACTTGTTGTTAGAAGGTAATAGAACCATATATCATTGACTGTGTTACCATATTACATTTTCTAGAAGCTGCCATTAGAAGCGCAATCTATTAACATTATTTAATACCAAAATGGCCCTATTATAGAAAACTTATTCTCACAACACAACTAATTATTTAGATTTCTGAGATTATCGTAATTCACTTAGGTACTGTAACGTTTTACAGTAATTAATTAAAAAATATGAAATCCAGTTCCACGTTTTAAACATTTATTCATATTAAGAATTCCTAAAATAAATAAAAATGTTGGATTAATACTTTATTTCTGTTTTACACATTGCAGCGACACAAAATGTAAGCAATTATATTATTTGTAAACTAAAATAATGGGTGCAAGACAGAAATAAAATTATTATTATAACTATGTCTTCAAGATTGTGACTATCTTTTCTGATCACCAAGATCTTCAATACTATCTTCATCAATCTGAAAAAAAAAAAAAAGATGATACACACCCATTATACTACACGTAAATAAATTTAATCTATAAAGGCAGTGAAGTCAATTCTTGGCTGCAGGCTAATTAACTCTTTAAACAGGGTGTCAATTAATTATTAAGTCGACGTTTAGCTGGGAGACGGGGATATCAAGGTCATGGTCTACAAAAAATCCCATGGTATTTTTAAATATAGATTTTATACACATTACGATTTTTACATTTTGACATCCTTGAACGTGGCTATACTCAAAATCTTTCTTTTTCTTTTTATTACCTTAAAGCAACCTGCTTTTTAATGAGATAAGTATTATTGAATTGAATTCCTGACTTAAAGTTATTTTAAAAGCATCAAGAATTATGGAAAAAGAAATAATTTTTTTTTAATTTCTTGAATGGTTGTGTTAAAAAAAATTGCAAATGTATGACACCGCATCTGCACTTAATTGAAAAAACTTGTCTACTTATTCATCTAATTACTAAAAAAAATGTACCTATCTACTATTTAGTTATGGTTTTATTCAAAATTTCATCAAACAGGTTGACATTACAAAAATGTAACATTTCGTGATGCTGGTGTCTAAGATGGTTTGTACCACTCATGGCGATGGTTTCTAACTTCAATTAAAAAAATACAACATTTGAAAATGAAAACACCAAAGCACCAAAATCACGAAAAATTAGGTTTCTTACACTTTAGCAAATATCCTGATTATTGCTGTAGAAATAGACAATTATGTTTGGGTACAGTTGCGTCCAAAGGTGTTCAAAAGTAAAATTGTAATGTGTAATAAATCTTTAATTGAAAAAAAAAAAAAATCATTGGGAATATTACCATAGTACCATGGGCTTTTTTGTAGGCCATAACTGCCTTGACATCCACATCCTGGCTTGATGTCGACTTAATAGACATCCTGTATAATAATGAAAGTGCTAGTATCTTGGGCACCTTGCCGCGTGGACTCAATCTAATTAATACAATTTAATCCTAGTTTCAGTTTCTAGTTTTTAAGCTTTTATTGTACTTTAATTGTATTTTTTAACTTATAAACTTAATCCAATTTCAAAAAACAATGAAAGTTGCATCAGAATTGAGATACCCTCAGTGTATACACAATATTATGGATTTTACCACAATCAGAAGAAAAAATGAAATAAAAGCAAACCTCAGGCCATTTTTCAGGTATAATATCAAACAGGTCATCTTTTACATCCCCTTGGATGACAATCTCATCATCCCCAGTCACTGAAGAACCACAAGCGAACTTAGTTCCAAAAAACTTTGCTGCAACTTTCAAGTCAATATCTGAAATGAGAAGATAAAATGAAATTATTATTAAGTATACTACCACTAAACTCTACTCAACGTAAAACTATATTAGTTTTAATATTAATGATTACATATTTAACTAATATTGCATTTTGATGCATGTATTATGTTAGAAAGGTCATCTAAATATTTAAGATGACATTTTATAGTTTCAGTGTTGCATACCAAAAGTACTAAGTCCTGACACAACTGTGACTGATTTCTTCTTGCCACGTGGCGCGCGTGAGATCTGCACAAGCTTCGGCACGTCCTCTTTCTTCTTCGACTTGAGCATACCCTTGCCGCCTCTCTTTTGTCGTTTCTTTTCTTCTTCACCACCAGCATTTTCTTCTTCATCTAAAATTGCTCGTTATTAGAATGTGTAAAGATTATGCCTTTATAATACAACGACTTAATGCGAAATGATCAACTTATTAAAACGAAAACATGGGATTTAAACCAAAAATAGAAGACAATAGACATAACCTTACTTTTTTAACATATAAATCCTGTTAACTCACCTATCTTTACTTTTTCAAATTCCGTGGGCAAGTTCTTCTCGAGCCACAGCTTACACTTGTCGTACTCTGGATAATATTCACAATATTCTATCGGCATCGAACAGTTACCGCAATACTGTACCTTTAAAGGGTATATTACTCCCTCTCGAGGGCCCATTGATAAATCTCTATCTGCCATGATATGGGTTATACTAGCGAAATTTTATCGGAAAATCGTAAAGAATATTGGCAAGTTAACCTAGATATACATCTAATCTATTCGTTCAATTATTAGATTTTTGGATCAAGCCTATCCCATTCCATTGCCACTGGCAAATTCGCAAGCCACCTTAACCATTGACGTTCGATGGTGACAGTGACAGCGACAGCCAGGAGGAGTAGTGTGACAGCTGACATAACAGCGGTGCCATTGCCATTTTAAAAAACCTCTTCCGGAGCAGTTTTTATTTTTATATGGATAAAAAATAATTTTAAAACGAGAAGTATTTTATTATTCTTTGTTTGAGAGTGCTTGGTTACACGATCTCACTAATGCAGTCATCAGCATTATTATAGTTGCATCCAAAAGTCTGTAACAACACGTCTGTATATGTTAGCTATATATAGTAAGGTGTTTATTGTTTATCGTGTTTCTGAATAGCGTTGCGCTAGGGACGTTATTATAGTAAACAAAATCAGTCTAATTTATATCGCCCGTTTGCCAGAACAATGTGTCTCTAAAATTTCGATTTTACAGGACAGCGATTTTTAACTTTAAAAAATCTAAATTCGTATGTTATTGGCCTCGGATCTATGAATTATGTATAAATCAACTAACACTCTGTACCGGAATACCGAAAATACTTTGCATTGTATGATATTAGTAAGTTTGATATAAAAATATTAACACAATGTTACGTTATTGCACAAAATATGCAAATAATGTAATTAATTAAATTGTTATTTCCTTTAAGATGATATAATTTTCACTTTGCGTTAACTTAACCAATAAAAACGCGTTACTCAAATTCAGGTTTTTTTAAAACTCACATTGTTTTTGTTTTGTTTCATAATTATATTACTTTACTTTTATCAATCAGTCATAACCAATGTCAAAATTGAACCGGTTTTTACTTATAATTATTTACTATTAAAAACTTTATTGCACATTAACAATATTTAAAGCGAAACTAAGTTACGTGGCACTTTAACCGTGGCACTATACGCCCGTAGCTATTTTATTTTTCATATTTTGTTTTTTTCGGATGTGAATGATTTTTTTTTAAATTTATTTCTGGCCATGGAAACAAAGTCCTTCAGCCGAAAACATACACGTTTAATTATATTTCTGGAAATATGGCCACCACAAAGAGGATAGGCAATTTGAGGCGGCGTGCTTGGATTGACTCGGGATTCCTTAGAACGGGCCGATACGGGTATTTTAGTTCGAGATTCGTATAATTTCGCGTTTTAATCTTCGATTAAGGCACAATAGCACTATCCTATTCCACTTTAAACTAGATTTCACAAAATAATTGAAAGTCAAAATAAAAACGACACTTTTCCCTCCAAAAGGCCCAGAGCGAATCGATGTGAATAGAAATGAATCTGGATGACCAGTTTTGTGAAAAAAGTGCTGGATAATGGTTTTTTGAGCTGGGTTACTGATGACCTCTCTGGGCAGATACCTACGATTTTAAAAATTCAATAGAGAAATAAAACCAAGTGATATAGTAGTGGCAAGATTTCAGGAGTGTATCGTAAAGGCTCGTAGATAACCGATTTTCTTTTTTTTCAGTATTCTGTAAATCCTGGGTGTAGCGAATCGCAGCAGTTGCTGCAAATCTCTTTTGTACATATACCTATTTAAGTTTTAGTTTTTATATTTAGATGTAATTGTTTTAGGCGCCTTTTCTTTACTATTGTTTCCGTTTTTGGATTGATAGCTGTATACGTGTTTTGTAGTAAATTAATAAACTGACCAAACGAACCAAGACAAAAGTAAATTGACTTTGATCTTGCTCACTCGTTGATAGCACCCACCCCTTCCCATTGATACAATCCTTTACACTGGGTTTATACAAAATTGGAACAGTTTTTGGTATATTCGTCTCTATCCATTTCCGGATAATTAAAATCACATGGGGCTGGTTCTCCTTGCATTATAACGTTTTCATGGATATATTAATGTACACTTAATTCAATTAGCGCAAAACAAATTGTGGTACTTCGCGGACCTAAAGTATGTACAAAGCATAGATTTAGTATGTACAAAGTGTCAAGCTTGACATGCTTTTGACTATACGTGAACTGATTGTTGTGTCATAAATGGTCTTTTGCTGATTGTGATGGAAGTCAAGGTCAATGGAATTTCAGAGAATTTTCACTAATTCATTTTCAGAGAAATTTGATTCTATTAATTAATAATTTTTTTTTAATTGTTTTCGACTCTCTTCAACGCCCACTGGACGTGGTAGGGTCTACTTTGGGAAAGTATGATAATATTCATTGATTATACTAGTTGGTTTATGATCTTCTTTTAACTGGAACCTGAATAGAACAAAACGAAACAACAATACTTGTACAGTCAAGTATTTCGGATTATATTGTGGAATTATATTATTTGGGTTTATTCAAATGCTTTAAAATCGGGTATAGTAATTAATCACATTTAACACGTGGTGGTGGAGTAATCGACAAAAAAGACATTTTCAATAATTAAAGTACCAATTTACTGTTAATACAATATATCGATACAAAATTCTTAATTTATCATAAACACTTTGGTTTTGATTCAGATTTCCAATGGACGAATACAAATAAAATGTTAATACATGAAATTATATCTACACTTCAACGTAATATGATGAATGTAATTTATATACAACTAAAAATTTATTAAACACTATGCATAACAATTCTTAGCTTAGTATGAATTCGTTTAGCTTATTTTTAATAGCATAAACGTGAAAATGTAACAATTTCTTCCTTTAATGAAAACGGGGCGGGAAGCTCAGAGGTATTGTAGCGGCGTCTATTGGAATTTAACCGTTGATAGTCAACAGTTTAATTTCGGAATTGAACAACCTGAACGGCTTCAAACCCACAGTTTACATAATAATAATAGTACAATTGATATTATGAGAAATTAAATATAGTTAGTTATCAAACACCTAAATTCATCCAATTTTTCTAAAGAGGTTTTAGATTTTTTTAAATAATTGTTTTATGTGAACTATAATTTAGCATTAATTAGATACACTATACATCGCAGTCTATATTTTATACATCTATAATACTGTCGTGTTTTTTATCGGAAGCTTTGAGTTTTTCTTGCATTTGTGTCAACATGTCTTGCATGCGCCGTATCTGGAAGACAAAAATAACTTTATTGAAGTTGGAACACAACAAAGCATACATATAGCTATTTTAAGTTGCACAAAACGAAAGTTTACAAACAGAATAGTTTTGATAAGATAATGATTGAGTTACCTCCTCATCTTTCTGCAGGAGCAATCTGTCTGTGTCCGTTATTACTACTTCGTTGTTATTGCCCATGGAATCTCGCTTCAGTTTTCTGTTGAAAGTATTTAGTAGTTTATTATACAAATCATTTTAAAAACAAGCTAGTGCACAATATTATACCTTTTATGAAAAAAAAAACAGAGACTAGAGCGATATTTATGATTGATGATTTTTAATGATCACTAAAAATTTAGATTTTTAAGAACAAGAACATTACAGTATAATGATGCAATATAATTATTACTATGTTAATAATCAAAATAAAAAAATACACTTACCCTCTCTCCCGCATGGCGTGCTGAGATATTTGCGATATGCATTGTGCACGGAAATTCTCGTAATGCACGTCTTGAGTAACGTCTTTTAAGTCTTGCATATGTGTGGATATTAGCATTGTCCGCAGCTTCGTGAAGTCAGAATGTCGAGGATTTTCAACTGCGCAAAGTTAATTACGGCTACATTAGATAAGTAGTACCTAAATATATACCGAGTTGTTATATATATTCAGATAAGTTAAAAATAAATTGTAAGGACGTATTTTAAGGCAGAATAACTAACCATCTACAATTCCCCAAGGATACTGCCGACCCCTTACTCTCTTGCCACCGATTTCCAGGACTGTGTCAGACGCTACTACTGCAAACGGAGCCGCTGCCTTTAATTCTCTATCTTGTTGTTTGAACTCTTCATCCTCATCGCTGTCACATTCGGGGAATTGGTATACCTGGACAGTTATAAAACAATTGATGCTCTGTACTTACACAAGTAATTCGCAAAAGTTGTTAAAAGTCAAATATTTATATTTAAATGTATATATCACAGACAAAATATATATGATAAGGGACTTGAATATCTATTTACTTGTATCTGATATTCGTCTAGGTCGGAGAGTATTCGCGTTTTGAGTCGTTTCACTTCAGCGGCAGTAAGTGAATCTGCTTTCCCAATGACGACCACGATATTCACTTTCCTGTGAAGTCGCCTCATCATCTCTAAGTCCACCTGTCGTAAGCTGTAACAAATAGTCACGTACCTACGTAATTACTTCGTGATGATAGTTGTTTTATATTTCGGGGACAATACACTTATGGTTCGTACCTGCGTATGAGAACTTATATTAAAATATTTGTTTGTAAACCAGAACAATGACTAATGAGTGATTTGAGCTGGAGACAATAAGCGCTTCAATGCATAGGATGAATTACTAGGAAATATCCGTAGCGACTGATGCTTCTCTTAATTGAAAATTGTTATTGTCAATAAAGACTCCATTTAGGTATCTGCATTCACGTTCACGCTCAGGATATCGTTACATTTATTCTCTTAAAGTTTTAGTTAAACCATTTTGTAGATAATGAGTCATAGAAATATTAGATGTATAGGTATATACGGTACACCTACGAGTATTTTGTGTACAGTAGAGACGATTATGCTGTTAATATTAATAAAACAATCTCGATAGTTGAGATCATTCCGCAAATTAACAATAACAAGATCGATAATATCAAATACACAAAGCATCTTAAACGCTTACATTTTTAATAAACAATTAAGGTAAACAAAACATGTCGTCAAATTAATCTAGCACAATTCACATAATACCATTGTTCCGCAGCATTATGCAATCTCGGCCTGTTCAGATGACCGTAACATATTAACACGTTTCTCATCTCATAACGATATCAATATACTCTGTACGAAAAAGGTAGATACTCGTAGATATACTATTTTCATGCTTCTACATAATTATATTTTTTTCCTAAATGTGCAGGTACTGTGTAGGTACTTAAATAAAACTTGTAACAGAAATATAGCAAAAACATTTCGTTATAGTTAGAAAATTAAAAACAATATCTAAATGTAAATAGGAACCTACTCCTTTGTTAACAATTATTATAATTGCAAAACGCAGATCTATTATCACTTTCTCCTGCTATAATTTCAGTATCCCCAGAGAAAGAATAGTGAAAGTAAATCCCGTCTTATACCATAAGGATAATGATGGCGAATTGGCCCAGCAAAACCGTTCAAGTAAATAGCTCTGCGGATTGCCAAGCCTCATTACACATAGCATGAGTAGGCTCTTTCTATCTCAATGGTTATCTTTGTTCTTTGTCAGACAAGGTGTTACAAAAAACCGGAATTGCCAGTGCGGACTTTCGCCTTTTCAGGCAGCAAGTTAAGCAGATCACTCAAGAAAATTTAACAAGGAGCGAGACACAAAAATGACCCTTACTTGGATTTATGAATACGCGATAAGAACATGTGGAGGACCAAGGAAAAGATGAAGTAGACTGGATGAGTTCCAAAAGTATTGACAACGTGAAACGCCGCTATAGAAAGGAATGGAAAAATAAAAGTTAAGGCCTAAACTGCTGCACTAGACAAACCTAGCACAGCAGTTGGCATCATAAGCTTTCAGTATTTTAGGGTTAAACACAATCCCATTAGTCATTCTCATGTACAAGGAACACATGGACAAAATCGTTGAACCACAATGATACTGAGGATCAAGGTTGGTTTTATTAATTTTAGGGTCATACTAGCAATATGAATATTTAATATGCGCAACGTGAGTACGTGAGTTCGTCGATGACAAACATTCCAATGACCAACGTTGGTAACACCTAAATAGGAAGTGGCGACTTACCTGTGAGCCCAGGGAGGTACAAAGTAAAGACAACAATGAACCCTGTTGTCCTGCATGTGTCGTCTGTTGAGCCCACTTTCGTCCGTGAAGTATTGTCTGAACTGTTCGTCAATATAGGCGGAACATACGCGCCAGGAATCTTCGCAGTTAATCGCATCTCCAAATCCTGGGGTGTCCACTATCGTCAACCGCAACTTAACACCTCGTTCTTCGATTTCCATTGTTTTTTTCTCTATTGTTGTAGTTTTATCTATTCTATCTGTAAATAATTTATGTACATAGATTTTATGATTAATTGTAGAAATAGATAAATTATTTATTTGTCATAAATGTATCTACCAACAGTCGATAGTTTAGGTCGGTGTTTAATTACTTGGGAAACTTGTGTTTTTTGTGTGTGACTAGGTAAATGTTCTAAGCATATTTATTTATTTACCTTGGACGTCAGGGATCTTTCTGTTCACGTAAAGGTCTCCGAGGAACAGGCTGTTGATAAGAGTGGACTTGCCAAGGCCGGACTCGCCCACCACCATAAGTGTGAAGTCGAATCCTCGTTTCACGGACTTACGGTGCACTTGCTCCGGCAATGTCGCGAACCCGATGTAGTCACGCTCACGATCTCGTTCTGTATCAAAACATTTTCTATTGTTAAATTATACATTATACACCTCGTATAAGAATTGTAATTTATCACACTTAGATCTATAGGAATTTATACAGCTATTGGCAGCAGTGATGAGACTAAATTAATGGCCTTTTGTTGTAGATTTCTTACCCAGTTGTAACTGGATATTCATGAATAAACATGAGTAGCAGTAACGCTGTTAGTAACATAGACACGGTTGAGGCGAGCAAATAAACGCCGAATCGAAACAGTATTTCCTGTAGATTCACCATTATCGGCTCCTATAGTAGTGAAACTGTTCTGTGTTGTTTATTCTATCGGCAATCGAACGGTGATGCGTTTGAAGCGACAATATTAATAGGTTGATTCGAAAATATTAATAGGTTCATCAAAATATATAATTCAGATAAGCAACAAGGGCCTATAGACGAAGTAAATATTAGTCTTTAGAGGATATTTAAACTATATATAATTTCCTTCGTTTATATGACCTCCCCTATTATTTTTTCAATGCACAAATGTTGCGCGAGTGTTACTTAATTGACGTATGAGGTAGTTCGAATGTTATAACAATGAAGTATTTAAGAGGATATTTACATTTCTAAAAAATAATCCACTTTCAACCGAGACTCTAAAGGAAGCAGGGCATTGCAACGAGGGCGCCGGCGCGGAACACGACAGGTTCCCTTGAGTCTGCCCAGGGACAGCGCGTACGCACGTCATACTGGGGACAGAGGAGGCCACGACAGACGTGTCGTTGCAGTACAGGTCCCTGTATCTATTTATATGTACCCATACTCCTACGAAATGAGACCACTGACGCTCCTGCAGCAATTTAGGTGATAGACTAGTTTATTTGCCGTAATTCAACGATAGAGGGGTCAGCCTAATAACTTTCATAAGTGGAAGATTGTATTATTACGAATTGTGGCGTGTTCTACTTAGATATGTACAGTCCGTACACGTTAAGTAGAATATTTTTTTTTTATGTACACGGACCTACCTACGCGCAATTGCCAAATAGTAATTGGAATACAGTCGGAAAGCTGTTGCGATGTAATCGAAATGTAATCAGTGTAGATGGGTGTCAGTTTGGCAACAAACCTTGTACTGAAGTAGTTTAATAAATAATCCGTATTGCCATCATATGTATACAAAAGACAAAACATATTACGAATTATAGGGAAAATATTATTTGATTTTTAATTCGGGACTTAATCACCCGGAATTGATTTTCATTATTTATTTGTGCACTAGGGTTCTCACTAAACCAACACATAACACTTACGACATCCGGTGACTTGTCGGGCGATACTTGATGTCGTTAACATTTGCTGATAAATGACGAAGAAAGCTTAAAACCGTCTTCTCGGTTGAAATTGCGGTGTTTTTTAATTTCAATAGCTTCACGTACGATTCTACTATAGTGATGACGTTCTGTAGAAAGGATCTTAGGATTATGAAGCTCAATCCAGTGGTTTGGTCCTGATTCCAGCAAATGCTAGGCTATTGCAGGCTTATTGAGCTGACGGTTCTTAACAGCCGCGATGTGTTCTTTAACTCTTTCCGCTATGGTGCGTTTTGTCTGCCCAATATAGGAACTTCCACAACTGCAATCAATCTCGTAAGCGCCCGGAGATTGAAAGGGATTATACCGATTTTGTCCAAACGCACACGGTACAGTACTAAAAAGTATTCTACAAAAACTGTGTTTACGCCGTTATCTACGTCAAGTATCGCCCGACAAGTCACCGGATGTCGTGAGTGTTGCGTGTCAGTCTAGTAAGAACCCTAGTGCACAAATAAATAGGTAATGAAAATCAAGAGCTCGTAGTTACAAATACTCGCACGGCTAGAAGATGCTGACACCCGCCTCTTCAGTCCCTTCGAGACGGTGGACGTTGCAATATGTCCGAAACGTCGAGGTAAATAAAATATGTTTTATATGTAATTGAGTCCGTAATTAAAAATCAAATAATGTGTGAAAATCGTGAAAATTTAAATCAAAGTAGAGGGAAAACAGCTAGGAAAGCTATTGTTTATTTCAAAGAAATGTATGTACTTCACGTCGGGCTCACAGGAGTAAATTAATTTCAGTAACAAAGTTTGGAATACTTCTATGTACTTACAGTTCCAGCTTTGGCAGTTTAATGAGTACAAAAAAATTTTAAAGTTAGGTAGCGCTACAACCGAAGTGCCTATATATGCCTTAGTAAAGATAAGTAGTAGATAACCTTACATGATTCATCAGTTTTCAGTCATCAGTCTGATAAATTCGAACGGATATGTGATCACGTAACGAATTGTAATTCGAAAAAGAAATCTAGGCTGTAAGAGACGCCTATGTAGATCTATGTATCTCTCACAGCCTAGAAAATTATTACAACTACGTTTGCTGCGTTTTATTGAATACAAAAATATCGTACAGTTATTATTGAATGAAGAAAATTTGTATCATAGAAGTACGAGACGAAACAAATCTTTAAGTAGGTACAATTTTGTTTTGTAGAACTACACATACCAATTGCAAATAAATAGCTACTACAAATCTTAAAATCCAATTGAACTTTAGCAAATAAGCCATTGTAATTTTATTTAAATCATGATTTTTATAATTCCTATGAAATATTTTGTTCTGAATATTGAGTGCGTATTTACTCACAAACAGGAACTGTTATTCTATTGATCGTTCACTTACGAATTTTAATTATACGAAATTTGTCAGTGTTGTTGTTGTCTACGTTTGTTTTATCCGTGGCATCTTCAGTTTTTCCTTTATTAAGAATGTTTATGTCCTTGATGTTGAACTCACTTTTCTCCATTATAAACTTATTATAAATCCTAATAGACTTTAACAATCTCTAACGTGCACTTATTTTTTTTTTATAAATGCCTATAGATTGTGTAACATAACGGAGTTTTTGCTATTTATGTTACGATCACGGGAAATAAAAACGCGGGAACTGTTGACACGCACGATGGATTTCTATGACTATGAAATGTTTTTGAGGTATTTGTGGCTTCCTTATGCGATAAATGGTATACGTGAGCGAGCGTCGCGGAAGACGATGTGCCCTGCGATTAAGCAGGAGCGCGCGCACTGGGACAGTGCAACTCTTCCGGTACACACAACGCGCGCGTTACAACTGCGCGCTTCACACTGACTAGCTGCGTATGCGTCAAATTGCGTCATTTATTAACCGCACGGCTTAAATTAAACAGGACCTATTTAATTAACCATCCACTTATCCAGGTGTTAATTGGTTCGTTTAACTCCTTGTGAAAATGTCCTTGTGAAATATTTTATCAGAAAGAAGTCCAAAGTAAAGTAAAAAGTGCCTGTAGTGAAATGAATATCTAATAAGTTTAAGAACATTTCAATTAACAAAAGTATTTTAAGATCTGTCACAGTTCACGCAGGGAGTTTTAAATACACCTAACAATAAAATTTATAAAAAAGTAAAAAAAAATAGGGAGTATAACAATGCACTTATGCGTGACCAATTAAAATTTAATGGAACTACTAGAGTCGAGCTAATGTTTGTTGCATGTGAAGTAGTTAAACTGGGTATTCATTTGCAAAGTAGAGTTATAGTGGGTTTATAAGACGTTTCTGTCCAAACAATAGGTGCAAGAGAGCAATTGCCCGAGGCAATTGTAACTCTAACACGAGTCGGGCGTCGTCGTAGTCGGCGATCATCCGGTGACGCAAGCGCATACCTCTCCCGGCTGTTAAGTTTTATAGACAAACACCTACGCGAGTTTTAGGCTTATCTCACCTTATACCTTAACGGAGCCGTTATCCATACGACGTCTTATATTCACTTGTCTTAGCCAATAATTATTCATGCGAAGAGTGCTACTTATACATTTATAAGTTTATTATGATAGTTTTGAATAGTCATATTAAGACTTTAAATAAACTATTTACAAATAATATATTTTTCTTGTATTAAAAACAATACTGAGTAGGTACCACATACCTCGTACAAAGAAACTAAATAAATAATAAATGATTAAAAAAACGGATACTTACCCAACGTCATCTTGGAATATTTTTAAGATAATCGATGCATACAAATATATACTTATATTTAGAAAATTTTTATCAAATTTTCGTATTTTGTCTGAATTTATTAGAGTAATTTATTTTAGGCTTGATAAGTCCCGGGAATACGAATGTCGATGATTTCAAAAGTTAGGTACCAAACCAATCGATCGATATTGTCACTGTAAGTCTAAATGTTCACATATTTCACACATATTTCAGTCTCTCTACATATTGTGTAATTTCAAAATTTCTTAAAAATTCTAGAATTATATATTTATTACGCAAACGTGTGTCCTAGATACAATTACGACACCATCGATGGTGTTACTGTTATTCTAAACACTACACATATAAAACGAGAGGCAAATAAAATTGTCGCGCGACACCTAACGTAATATCACGATGTTAATCCTAAAAATTGTATAATCAAAAATAGTAGAAAAATTCAAGAAAAAATAAAATCACATAGTTTGTGCGCAATTCTGTGCGTCAAGTTACATAATGAGTCGGTCCCAGGCAGAGCTCGCGCCCTCCGAGCGTCCTCCCGCGCGCACTCCGCCCCCTGCGCTATGCGCAGGAAATCTGCGAGTACCCTAGCGTCAATCGGCGCACTTTTGCAGCGCGGCGATCGATAACTACCCCAACGCACGCGTGCGCCCTTCGCCTTCGCGCCGCGCGTCTACACCCCTTGTGAATGCCTTCCACACTCCGTTGCCCTAAATGCATTATAATAGATGCGTCCCTGAGACTCAAGGTCATCATACAACATAGCACGTCGAAAGAGCTAAGCAAATTTTAGGTTTACATTTAGCCTCAACTGCTGCTGTTTTGAGCACTAGTACCTAAATGCCTAAAATAAAGAGACCACAGGCGCTGGCAAGTATATTCGTTATTTTAATTTCACAACATACACATTTATGCCTAGAGACGAGAAAAGATTCACTGGGAAACAAAATTCGTACTTCGATTATCTAGATATTATACAGATTCAGTTTCTGTGTTGTGTACGTATCTCTCACTTGAAGGTATTGACCCCAAAACAAATGCAACCGTAACATTTTAAATAGGTAATATGAGATTTTAAAGTTTACAAAAGAAATAACTGAACATTCAGGGTAAAAGGCACGTTTGGAAGAACAAAGTGAAGGTTGGGCACCTATCTTGAATATAAAGGGATCGATCGATATCGGCTTCAAAATTGTACTAACCTTTGTTTTGTTAAATCTGTAATTAGTGATAATCATTTAGTGAATGACCACGAAAGCCTTAAAATCTAAACATAGTTTTGTTCTAGCTTGAAATCATATAGCAATATTATATCAGCAAACCTTGACGTTAGACAAACAAAAGCACTAAACATAAGATTCATAAAATATGTAAGTGAGTACACATAACTTTGGCCAAACAGCATCCTTCGACAACAGATAGGTCAAGAACGCCAAAAGCCTTCTTGCTTCAGTCCGAGCTGTCCATGAAACAACTAAGAACAACCTTTCGTTGATACCAAAGCATTGTCGGTAGGTACATCCTGCCCATATTCAACTATGGTACTCAAATATCGCAATAAAAATGTTCTACATCAAAATTTAATTTAACAAATTCGACGATCAAGGTCTCTCGTGTAAAGAAAACACTCTATGTGAAACAACAAACCCCTAGAGAAATAAAGAGCAAATTTCAAGGAGTGGACATGCCCTAAAATGGCTAATATGAGCCAATCGAACTAAATTTCTCTCGAGAGAAGCTATATTAATCTGACACGCAGATCAGTAGGTACCTACCACTTGCAATAATTTACAACTCTCCAGCCACTGCCCATTTCTGGTATCTGAGCTCGATTTAGATTTTCCTGCTTAGAATCATATAGCAACAAGACTATACGGAAGCGAATATTGTAGAATAGCAACACGATTAATTGAAAATGCATATTTTATATAGTTATCTACACTCGCATAATTTAATAACAAAACGTAATGTGTTGTAGTAGCAAACAGAATGAAAGACAGTGACGTAATTATGTTTAGCAATTTCACCCAGGAAAGCATAAACAATATATGTCTTTATACGTTATTGGGCTTTTTGCTGCTATATTTCATAACTCATTTAATTGCGGAAACAGTTGACTGCACTTGACAGTAAACAAAAATAGCAGTTGACAGTAATAAAATAAGTAGTTTCACGTACGTGCCTTATACTATACTGTAGCTAGAAAGGCGTGTATCTAGTTCGTCAGTTCGAGGGGACATACTGCGAACGATATTTTCAGTTGTTTATACCCTCAGTAAAGCGTACCTAACTCATATCTCCTTGGGTATTGTATACGGAAAGCCTGTATGCTACCCGGTCAAAGATTAGGCATAATATGTATAAATATTATTAATAAAATCGTTGCGCGTGCAAAACCGCGGAAGAGCAGATTGGAAAAACCGCGTAACAGCAAAAGGTACAAAATTGAAAAATCGCGCCAACAAATCCTTAACGCGGATTCGCTTAAGCTAGATCTCACAACATTTTAATTAGCCTCTAAGAAACCTCATTTTTGCCATCGAAACAATACCGCGAAACAGTGGCATTGCTGAAAATTGGCAGCAAGTCCGCGTATTTAACACGATACACGAAACCTACGACTAGGAGAACTAAGAGATGAAATTCATGAAGACGAAGTAATGCTAGAATTATTATTTCAAAGTTAATGATAAAAAGAAAAGAATTTGTTTTAGGAAACACTGGGTATAAAATGGACAGTTAGATATTGGCTAGGTGAAATATTAATGAATCTGAACTGAAATGTAACGGACTTACATTTCGCCTAGTTTTTTATATGTACATAGTACACAGAGTTTGTACGTATCATTGGCTAAATCCTAAATCCAGAAAAATTGTTCTACAATTCTCCGTAGCAACGCCACCGTAATTGATTTCTTTTTCTTTTAAATTAACAGTACGTATTCACAATATTTTTTTTATGAAAAAACCGACCTGAAAAGTTCGTGGAACAACATCTATTTGCCAAGTTTTATTGAAATCGGTTACCGCAAAGTGCGTGAAACCGGATTCATGCCCTGGTTTACCACCCTTAGAGGTCGAATATTTCCTTCAAATTTAAATGGGACCAATTACAGAGGTACCGTTTTTCCAACAAAAAAAAAGAATCATCAAAATCGGTTCACAAATGTGTAATCGAGTAACAAACAAAAAGAAAACAAAAATACAATCGAATTGAGAACCTCCTCCTTTTATTGAAGTCGATTAAAAAATACAATGTATAGGTACATCATCTGTGTACTACAGTGAATAATATTATAATACAAAAAATACGGGGCGTGGCTACAGAGCAAGACACTAACTACCTTTTAATTATATTTGTGCAAAACATTGAACAAAGATTAAATTATTGTTTTTTTTTTGTAATTTTCAGAGAACTTACGAGACTGTTTTTTTTTGTTATTCTTGATTATACATATTTTAAAACTACAAAATTTGTATATAATTTATCTACGAACAGTACCTAAGAAATTATTGTTTATCTGATAATACTCTTTTGGTCTAAGTAGATGTTTGTTTTAGAACCTTTTTTGTTATTTTATTATTATTGTGACCTTATACTGTCCCACAGAAGGACAAAAGCCTCCTTACTGTCTGTAATTTTTGCTCTTTAGTCATAATAAAATCAAACCTTTAATAAAATGTTTCACTTCAATCCCGCGCACCTACTAACAGTATATTACTTTTTCTTTAATCTTTTACTACAAAACTGCGTTAGTGACTTTATCCGGAATCTAAACAAGTTATGGGTAAACTTACGTTATTTTTCTACAAAGTGAATCGCAAAGAAGTAGCTAGGAGTTCAGTCGGTAAGTTATAGTTAAATGGCTAAGATATTAAGTTTAATTACAAAGTGCTCTTCAGCGTTTTTGCACGTGCAACGACGATTTCAGTTGTTTATACCCTCAGTAACGCGTACCTAACTCATATCTCCTTGGGTATTGTATACCGAAAGCCTATACGCTACCCGGTCAAACATTAGGCAAATAAATATAATTGAATGCTTAATTAAAAACAATACATTTTTAAATTAGTTTATACATGTATAATATGGAATAAAGATTAAATTTTAATCAGCAGAATGGAAGAAACATTATTATATATAATT